TACCCACAATATGTTTTTCCCAATAAAAAAATATATTAAAAAAAAAAGAAATACAAAGATAATTGGTAAAATGTGTGTGAGGATACTAGAGGGGAAAGGGTAGGAGCAGAGGGGTGAGGATGTGGAGAGGGGAAATTATAGAGTCATATAATTTGATGGATAGAGGCAGAGGTGGGTAAAGGAAATGGGAAAGATCTGGTGGGGATCTGGAAAGATAAGGCAATGGTGGGTATAGTTTAATGTTGATTCATTTTATAAAATATAGTGAATTGGAATGATTGTATGAAACACAATGTGAATGTAATATGAAACACAATGTATACAAACGTTGTTAGCAAACTAATATAAAAGAAAAAATTTTTCCAGATACCAAATTCATTTTTCAAGGAGATTGAAAGGGAAATTATCAGATTTATTTGAAGAGACAAGAGACCTCGAATAAGCAAAACACGTCTGGGAAACAAAAATTTGATTGGAGGCATAGCACTCCCTGACCTCAAAACCTACTACACAGCAGTGGTAACCAAAACAGCATGGTACTGGTACAGCGACAGTCACACAGACCAATGGAACAGAATTGAGAACCCAGAAACAGACCCAGCTATCTATGGTCAACTGCAAGTCAACAAGGAAATAAAAACTATCAAATGGGGAAATGACGAACTCTTCAATAAATGGTGCTGGAGAAATAGGACTTCCACCTGTAGAAAGCTGAAACAGGATCCACATCTCACACCCTACACAAAAATCAACTCAAGATGGACCAGAGACCTAAGAGTAAAGCCCAAAACCATAAAGTTCTTAAGAGACAAATTGGGATCAAGCTTAGAAGTGCTAGTACAAGCTATAAAAAGACTGCTAAATACAACCAGAAATGCACAATTTAAAGAGGATAAAATTGATGCATGGGACTTTCTAAAGATTAAATTTCTGTGCACATCAAAAACTTTTTCCCACAGGGTGAAAAGAAAACCTACAGACTTGGAATCAACATTTGGTAATACCATCTCAGACAAGAGTCTTATAACAGAAGTTTACAGAATACTCCTGAGCCTCCACAGAAAAAGACTGATAACCCAATTACAAAATGGGCAAAAAGACATGAAAAAAAATTTTCACAGAGGAAGATACTTGAATGGCAAATAGACACATGCAGAAATGCTCCAAATCACTGGCAATAAGAGATGCAAAGCAAAACAACAATGAGGTATCATCTCACTCCAGTAACAGTGGTAAAGTTTAACAAGGGCAGCAAGTAATAGATTTTGGAGAGGATGTGGCGAGAAAGGAACTCATACATTGTTGGTAGGATTGTAAAATGGCGCAACCATTCTGGAAGGCAGTTTGGCCGTTCCTCAAAAAGCTGAACATAGAAATTCCATAGGACCACCTATTCCACTACTTGGAATACACCCTGAAAATAGGAGAACTGAGGCACAAACTGAGATTTGTCCACCAATGTTCACAGCAGCATTATTCACCAACATAAGATCATGGAAACAGCTCAAGTGTCCAACCACAAACAAATGGATTGAGAAATTAGGTACATTCACACAATGGAATACTATGTAGCATGCAGGAGTAATAACTTTGTACATTATTATCTAACTTGGGAGGAACTGGAGAGCATTATACTGAGTGAACTAACTCAGTCCCACAGGGATAATAATGTATAAGACTGTTATTGTAGAAAGAGTATAAGGATCCAGGAGGGGTGGGAGAAGCTGGAATCAGAGGGATGTGGATATACGGAGGGTGGGGGTGAGGGGGTGTTTATTCATTGGTTTGTACAATTTGATGGAGAAGGTAAGGGAAATAGAAGTTGTTCGAATTTGTATTAGAA